TATATATATATATATATATATATATATATATATAGGGTCTTATCTAGCAAAACGGTCGCTCATTTTAAAAACAATATAACAAAATGAACGAATCTTTATTTGTGTCATTTGGTTCATTCAACAAACGAAATCATTCAACTCTAAATCGTTTATTCAATGAGTTGACTCGGGAAAAGATTCGTTCATTTTGATAAACGAGTTTGAACAGGAGCTTATAAAACTTAAACTTTGTTTTTTTTTTTTTTTTTTTTTTTTTAAATGAGCGATCGTTTCGCTTTATAAGATAAGACCGTTATTCATCATCTGAAATAAAAAACCCTTTGAAGCTGCACTGATACTCTCAATTGGACCTTGAACCGTTTGGTTCCCATTGAAGTCCATTAAATGGAGAAAAATCCTGGAATGTTTTCATCAAAAAGAATGACATGGATATCTTGGATGACATGGGGTTGAGTAAATTATCAGCAAAAGTTTTTTTTTTTTTTTTTTAAGTGAACTACTCCTTTAATGCACAGTATATTGTAATATGTTATTTCAAATGATCCCCTAGTTTCATTATGCCCTTTTGTTATGTTAAAGATTATGTTCTTAAGTTCATTTGTCGAACTCACTAGCCTAGAAAGCCTTTTATCAGCAACTAACTTTTTATATCCCGGAGTTCCCTAGTATATTGAGGCATTTAAAACACATCCCATGAAACCATAAAAGTTACTCTTTGTGCAGGAAGTCCACACTGCAGAGCCCTTTGAGGTAAACCACAGATTTAATTTTCTGAAACCAAAGTGAAATATATTAAATTATGTGCTACAACATTCAACTGTTGCCTGGAGAGCTATCATTTATCCTTGTAAAGATTTACCGCTCGCTATCGCTGTCTGTGGACTGACACGGTGCATTGTATCTCGCGGAAATCATGGTTGATATTCCTGTGCGTTTATAACTATAATGCCACAGGCGTAACTTTAGTTACATTACGACTGGATAAATGCTATAATGCTTACTGTCAAGCGTTTTAGCTGAACAATAGCAGAGTGCTTAGTTTGTTTTCAAGCTGTGAAAAACAGCAGAAAAGCAGGTTTGTTTTTCTGTGCAGTATTTTAACCAGTAACACAACAGGGTTTCCTTGACATGTTGTAATCATTGACCCAGTGCCCTGTCTCTCTGACATTCACACCTCTTACTCTTGCTGAATGGAATGCAGATGCTTTTGTTCGCAACTTACCATATGCGGAGCCGCAACTCTTTTTCTTAGGTCTGAGGTCTGTCGAAAAGACTTCCTCAGATGAGGTGAAACGTTTATATGTAATCAACGTATAAAAACCTCAAAAGGTATAACATCTGGCAGAAAACATATATTTAGATTGTTTATTGCACTTCTCCTCACCCTGATTCAGGCACTTACCATTTGTTTAAACATCATGAAAGGTGTGTGTGTACATATTCCTGGACCTTTTAAACTAAGGTCAAAGGCTGTGGTTGATATCATTAAGCACTTATGCATTAAGAATATCTAAAAAGGCATCTAAAAACACCAGAATAAATGTATTTCCTGGACCATTCTATAAGGATATCACCCTCCCTAGTGACATTAACAAGTTTGTTCATGTTGAAACTCTAACCACTGCACAGAGTAAAAACTCTGATACTAAAGTGTTAAATTCGGTCATGAGGAACTAGAACTGAGCTCTGTACTCTGTAAGATGCTATTTAATAATTAGCTATTGTGATAAGTTAGCTTTATTTTTCCTTAAAGACACTTCACTTATTAAAAGAAAAGTACGCCATATCACAGATATTTCCCCTTAAAATGAAAACGCAATCATTTCACAGCTCATTAATCTGACTTCTGTCATTAAACCTCAAAAATAACGTTGTGTTTTGCTTTGTGTGTGTGTGTTTTTTTGGGGGTTTTTTTCCAACTGTGTAACTAAGTGAAGTAGTGTGCTGTGTTTTACGCCTGTTTCTTCAGGGCAAAAGGAAGCGAAGTTGCTCTTGGTTGTTGGGACTAAACAGCCCTTAATGGAGGTGACAAAACAAACGTCCTCAGAGAAAACTTCAAGAGCTAGTTACATGAGTACTTCAGGGCCCGCAGCTGAAGTTTACCCGGACACCGCTTCTTTCAGGGGCCTCGCATAAACATTACACTCTCTGTCTGGGTAATTGATCCCAAATCTTGTTTGACAACGTTTTTTCACTGCAGACACTTCACATGCTTCCTGAACATTGCTGAGCTTTTTTGGCCGTGTTGCAAATACCACAACAACTCAGCACTCATTAAATCTTGTGTTGAGTGTTCTCTGCCTTACAACTGCCAGTGTGTGTGTGTGTGTGGTTTAGTTCATTTTTCGCACTCGCTCCATTCGCTGTCTCCCTTATGTGTTTTTTAGAGTTGTAATATAATGTTTCATATATATTTGAAATTAATTAAAGTGTTACCAAATACATATAACACCACCCTCCACCACCAAACACACATGCATATATATATTTATATATATGTGTGTGTGTGTGTATTATTTACATATATATGTGTGTGTGTGTGTGTGTGTGTGTACGTACATTGTAAAAAAATATTGTTGGTTTAACTTAAAAAAAATAAGTAACCTGGTTGCCTTAACTTTAAGTTAATTGAAATTGAAAAATTGAGTTAATACAATGAAGGAGATTGATTTAGTGATCCGAAACTCAAAATATTATGTTATCTGAACCACATAAATTATCTAAATTGATTTGACAACAGAAAAAAAACGTTATAGCAAATCATGATTTTTTTATTACAGTTTATATATATATATATGTGTGTGTGTGTGTGTGTGTTTGTGTGTTTAGTAACACTTTACAATAAGTTTTCATATGTTAACATTGATCAAATACATTAGTTAGCATGAAACAAAATGAAAAAAAAAACACTTCTGAAGCATTAATGTCAGTATTTACCACTACATTATTAAAATACAAAGTTGTATCTGTTATTTGTACTTGATTGACTTGAGATAATGTAGTAACAATCAACAGTTATATTTCTATGAACTAACAATATATACAGTGCTGGGTAGTAACTGATTACATGTAATCTGGATTGCGTATCCGATTCCAAAAATGTAGTACTTATAATTAGATTAGATTATATTTTCAAATGCTCATAAGTGGGGTACTTTTTAATGACTTGCATGATTGCATATTATCCACACAATAGAAGTCAATTAATCATAATTTATTGATTTAATTTACTGAATTATTTTTTGTTTACTCTTAGTTTCTTTTCTAAAAATATATAAAAGTGTTACCGTTTCACTTTGACTATAGTCACAATATAAAATGGCCATGTGAATGTCATGTAAATCATGTAAATAAATTTGCTTCTAAATTTGCAGACAAAATTACCTCTCAACTTATGTTGAGTTGACCTGTGTGAGATGATTAATTATGCCACTTCATAAACACTGCTGATATATTGCTGTGAAACACTGTCTTCATCGTATCCCGTGACCTTCACTAATTATTGATCGAGACAAAAGTCTGAACAATAACATTTCAAACCTGGAAAACTCATCATGTTTATTATTGTTCGTTCATATAATCCAGTGTTTCCTTTTTTGACCTCAAATATTTACTTACACTTAAATATTCCCCCCTGTGATTTAAAGTTATTTTTTTCAATCATTAAAGCAACATGTTTGCATGTCACATTGATAGGGGAACAATCATTAGCTTTTTATAATCCCCCTGCAGTAATGCTTTTCATGTTATTGATGATAAAGAATGGAAATGTTTTCTTTTTCTTTGTTTACACACACACACAAACTATTGCTATTTATTTAAGAAATATTTAAAGAAAATGCTGACAAAAATGGCCAATAATTCATCTATGCTAAATATCAAACACTGACTAACTCAATCCAAATCCTGTCGCTTTACATTTACACTGTCGTTGATTATGATGAATAGTAATAGTAGTATAACTATAGTTAGTAGTGTCATAGATTACTCATTTTAGGTATTGTATTCTGACTAGTTTTTGATTACTTTTGACTAAACTCATTTATCACTATAGATATAAATGGGATTCTTGTGTACCATATTCTATATTGGTGTGTGTGTGTGTGTGTGTGTGTGTGTGTGGATAAATTAGCCAAATTGAAAAATATTTCTTGGCCCTACTTTATGTTGAAAAGTGTGAATGATCCGTGTTGTATCTGCTGTTGTTTCTTTAACCTTCATGATCTCAGATGAGTGGCATGATCCTATGTGATGTCAATAACATTATTCGTGCAGTTTTTGTTTTTAACGTCTCCTTGTATTGTGAAAGTGGCACTGGCAGTTCAGTCATTTGGTTCACTCTGCCATTGCACACATTATTTACTCTAATGGTCAAATAATGAAAGTGTGAGGCTCCGTTTTGGCAAAAGATGCCTAAATGTAAGCCTGTGCACACGCTTTCTCTCAAAGACTTCCATGTGAAGACTTCAGGCTTCAATAGTCTTTAAAAAAATCGAAGTTTACTCCACCTTTCATATAAAGACAGAAACTTCTCATGATAGAAGTGCAAAGGCAAACTTAAACCCTTTCCCCGTGTCTCAGTAGTCCACATTAGAAAACAAGCTGCTTTCAATTACAGACACTCTGAATCTCTTTCTCTCTCCCTCCTTCTGTCTTTTCCATCTCTTTTCTTCTTTGATTACTTTTAAAAACATTTATATTCCCTAATAACTTGGGTTTAGTCTAGTGGCCAGTGATTAAATCCAGACTGGTATAGTAAATGCAGAAAAGTGCATGTGGAAAATAATATCTATCTATAATTATTTACAACAGCTAAGAAATGGAAACTTGGTAATTTCTGCAATAAAAATGTCAAATGCAGCTCCGCGTTTAATGAAGATTTAGAGCTGTACTGTTATTTTCAAATTCATAAGAAACGTATCTCTCGTAGCTTAAAACATACCCGTGTGAAGATTATGTGTGCTAGATTCTTATTTAATAATAACAAACAACATGCATACAGGGCCCATGTTTATTTTCTTGAGCTTTTGTTGATACAGTTGATAATTAAACATTTTTACTAATGTCATCAACGTTTTTTTCATTGCATCATTCTTTAAAGGAACACAATGCTGCTTCTTGTTCGGTTGCATTATTTAATCATGCATCATCATCGTTTGTGCAGAATTACAATACGTACAGTTGATTTGGAGCAGTTGGTTGTCAGCTGACCAATGATCCTTTTGCCTAGAAAAGAATAGAGGTTAGTTGCACCAGTTGCTCGAACACATTCATTAAGGCCTACCTTCCCTGCTTTGTCATTGTGGAATCTTTGCGTGAATTTCCTCCTCCCATCATGCACTTGGTGTTGATGTCACCACTCGGCATTCTTCGGTTTCTTCGGTTCACAGTGGCCGTGTCCTCTGCCCCTGCGGAGGCCTGAGACAATGCACAGCTAGTCTACCAGAACGCCGTATTCTACCTATGGGACAGTTGATCATAAGTCATCAATATTATTGATTCAACATTTTCTTGTATTTCAGTGAGCACATAAGGCTACTTGTATTCCTACACCTCTCGTTGTGTTTATTTTTGGTTGGTAAAGTGACTGTAAAGTGTAACATAGGAACTATTTAATTGAAATGTAAAAATAAACAATAGTAATAACATGCTTTACTGTAATGATTTGTAATCACAACATTTTTTCTTTTGTCAAATCGACTTAAATCATTTATGTATTTCAGATAACATAATATTTTGAGTTTCTGCTGATTAAATCAATCTCCTGCATTGTATTAACTCAATGAGCTTAAAATTTTAAGGCAACCAGGTTACTTCATTTTTTTAAGTTAAACCAACAATATATTTTTTACAGTATATAAATGTGAGTATATTATTTGCATCACTTTTTTACGCAGGTTTTTTTTTGACTTTGATTTGATGTGGAAAATGGAAGTTTGGCATTCAGTCTAAGAAGAGATTATTGAAACGAATTAAGCGTTCGCTGTTTAAATTGACACTGTAATCCATCATTGGAGAATCGAACTCTGCGCTCTATCATGAATCTGCTGGCTTCTTAGATTGGCCCTTAGGGCAAACAGAAATAGACAGGGAGAAGGTAACCTGCACCTATTGAATGAATCAATCACACACACACACACAAATTACAACTAGGTGTTTTTGATAAGAATTTAATTGTCAATAATATGATTAAATGTATAGATGCACACTAAATTAAGCATTTTTTTCATAAAATTTGTCAAATTTAACCATGAGATTAACACTTTTTATGGTTTCTTTTTTTAAATTGTCATAATAGATCTGTGAATCTTCCAATAATGCCTTAATATTGACATTTAGTATTTGTAAAACCAAAGACTCTCTGAGAAATATTTATATATATATTTCTCGGCAGACGAATAAAGTGCATAGTGACAACAATTAAACGTTTGTGTTAATACACATTGCCATATGCATACAACAACCCACCCAATGGAATACACAGCAATAATCACTTCAAAATCTTCATTCATAATCATACTGGCTTTTAAAGATTGGCTGTATATAGCAAACAATCTGCATAATCCCATGTCACACTGCGAGTGCATTATATCAGATTAATGAGAGCAAAACTTAGTTTACACTAAAAGTATGACCCTTTTTCCTATATGGTTACATTATGGCTCTTTTATATTGCTACTGTACCTGTGGAATCTCTGACTCGGAGTCATATGAGTATCTGCTGCAGTCTGGTACTATACAATAAGAAATAACACAAGGACATTGAACGATTTCACAGAGTTACATTTTGAAGAGGCTATATGGGCGTAGGCTATGCTTCCATAATATCTTTTTTCATGGACTCTGGCAACAATTGGTCCATATTCTGGTCTTAAAGAGTGAAATACATAGGGGGAACTTTGTCCTGTGAAGAAGCATTAAGTCCTCTGAATTCCCAGGGCAATGGTGTTGTTTTAAGACTAAAGGTAATGCTGAACAAATTACACCATATTTGGGCACAGAGCCAGGCTTCTGTAGAGAATAAAACCATAATCCTATTCAATTTGCCCGTAACCGATATGAGATTTTCTTCAATGAGTTGGAAGAATATGTCAAGGGGAGTTTTTTTTTTTTTTAGATCTTTTTAAATGACAAACAATAAAAATGGCAGGATTGCGTGAGAAAATACTTCAAAAGTTTACTGTATTATTTTGGATTAATGTATTGAGAATAATCAGATTTGACCGTGTTTCTCCCTTTTTAATAGTAAAATTACAGGTGGAACTGAGAAAACTTGTGCCTGCAGGAATAATCTGCATATATCAGACCACTTCTACATTAGAAACATATTTATAAAAAAGTGTTTTTCTGTTACTGTCTTGGTGTATTAAAAGAGCTTTCTATGTTGCTTCTACTAAAATTGTTTACAATAAAATAAAACAAATAAAATGTTCAGAATATTTTTTTTATTACCCTCTTGTGTAAATTAGCCTATACTAATAGCTTAATATAATTATAAATATTATTACAAATTTCAGAGCATGAAATGTAGATATGCACACATTGTACTACAAGTGCAATCAGTCTGAAAATAAGTGGATAATGCTTTCTTTACATCTAATAAAATAAATAAATCCGGCTAATTTGCAATCGCTAACATAGGCCTATTTGCCAAAAGAATTGTGATTGCTAATTACTGTAATATCAGAAAACGCTTCACCGTCACAACAGATGTGCCATAGACTGCAACCACACCAGCTGACAGGTCTATTACTTGCTCGTTTGGACACGTTTTAAACCGCAGCCTCTGATCCGGTGGTTTTCAATCCTCCATAAGTGAGACGTAAAATATGCAGTGCAATGGGTTCCCATGCAGAACAACCCAAACACAAGCATGCAAAGTGTATTCGGAATAGCGAGGATATTAGCTAATAATAATCAAACATAATAAAACTAAATTATTAAGACTTGCTGTAATGTTGTAGACATTGGCATGATGCATCCAATTACCTATGAATTTGTGAGATGCGATTATACTTTATGTTACGTTTTCCGTAATAATTAGCTATCTGACTTCTGATCATACACCTTAATCAGTCTCCTCACGTTGATTAGCCTGGTTAACCTTTGCTCCGTACTGGGTCCGCAAGGGTTAATCAGGCCGGGATCTCAGTGACCCGAGGGTCAGATTCCCTCTATCTCATGCTTGAAGGATACGCTGGAGGGAGCGATAAGATTAGGGTGAACTTTCCTCTTCCAAACCATCAAAGCGCAATAGACACCTGCGCCTAAACCTGCGCTCCCAACGCTTTGGAGATTTACCGTGTCGTGTCCGTGACTTAATATTAGCAAAATGTGGCTCACTGTGTGTTAAATAAAAACTGGGGGAAAAAAAGTTGAAAAATGTAGCCTGTTCGGTATAACATTTTATATGTTTTTTTTTTTTTTTTTTTTTTTTTTAATAAAATCAAATACATGTTTATTTTAAGGTGTAATATGTAGGCTAGTGCAAAAGAGATTTGCTGCGGTTTTTATGTGGCTTTGCTTATTCAATGTCTATCGATTTAATCGCGTAGCCTATAACTCCTCTTCCAGCAGACACATCTTACACTCTCCTGTCCCAGCGTGCGTATTTTACTTTACAAACAATAATAAAGTGATTTGCCCCTTTCTTCGCGTCCCAGCCATGGAAAATCGTTAAAGATCCTGCTATTTGTGTGTGATCAGTAAATATTTAGTGTAGTGTCTCGTCCTAATCGATGGAGGTCCCGATGGGGGAGCGCTATTGTGTGTGTGGACGCTTGCTGAGCTCTGTGTGTGAGGACTCTTTCTTCTGCAGTGCGTTTTACAATGATAAATGTGCCAGGACGACTTTGGTTGCACTTTAGTCATCAACATCAAGTTGCTTGCAAACGGTTGAAGTTTTGATGCGTAAAGTGATGCATTTATAGGTTACTCGGCTGCTAGTGGCTTTTTGCTTTTATTTTGTGTTCTTTCAAATGTGGAACAAAAAGGACTAGAGGATAAAACTTTGTTTTGCATATTTTAATACGGTACGATATTTAATTAGATAGCTATAAGATGTCAAATGTAAGTCCTCCGTATTAAAACTGTATAGTAGCCTATAATATATTTCAATGTGTCTTTACCGCGTTATATGCAAATAGGCTATGCGTTATATAGCAAATGCTGGTAGCATAGACTTTAAGCTTTAAATCACTGAGATGAGCATTCATTCATTCATTTGTTAATTCATTCATTCATTTTTCATCTATCTATCTATCTATCTATCTATCTATCTATCTATCTATCTATCTATCTATCTATCTATCTATCTATCTATCGATTATCCATTCAATAGGTGTATGGCATTCTATTTATTAGCTGCTATTCAGTCCTGAACCTTGACTCTCCATTGTGTATAGTTATAGTTGACTTAGCAGAAAAGACCATTAAAGCGCACTCTTAAAACCGATCAGACATGGACTGGATTTATTTACTTGAACCATAATTGTCTACTCTATAGCATTTTGACGTCACTCATGAATGCAGTTTATAAGATGTCTGACGACTGCAGAGTGTTTTCTGAAGTGCTGCTTTGTTTTTATTCAGACATAGCCTAAGTATAAGCATCAAACCCATATTGATATGATGTTTTTATGTGCATTCTTGTAGACAAATAATTATGTCTATTCATGAACTTAATGCCATATTAAAACAATATTTATATAATGAAAAAAAGTTTATTGCGTCGATTATCGAAATTTATTGAACAAATAAAGTCCTCACGTTGGACTTAACCATTGAAAAGACGACAAAGGCATATCACTGTTACTAGTTTGCACATAAACAGACAGGTGTCTCTCCTGACTTCACCCCCTCCCTCTCTCTATCACACAGCCCACACAAAGCAGCTGCACTAAGGAGGCTTTTTACCTCCCGTGGAAAAGAAAAAGACGCACAAGAGCATATTCTGTCTTTTTTTTTTTTTTTTTTTTCAAAAAAATCTATATCTTCAAAGTCATCAACACGACTCTATTAGGATATGTATTAAATACTGACATGTGATTCAAGCGCCGCAGAAAAGTTTCATTTTTCTTGTCGGTTTGTCTTTTTTTCTCTCCATAAAGTTTTAGTAATCATCCAAATAAACAGAGCCGGGTTTTTTTTCTGTATAAATCCGTCAGTGGAGCGTTGATTCGCACAGAAAGAGAAGCCTATATCTTTCATTTAGGAGAGGATGCATCACGCGGAAGAAGAATCAACATCATATGCATTTGGTATGTTGATTGTTGGGAATCAAATCTCACTCCGCATGTACATATCAACTGAAATATGTTAAAGTGAACCTGCTGCTTCTTGTGTTGTGAATTAATTCGCAATATTCATTAAAATTATTTTCAAATGTGTCTACAGCAAACGCATCCTTGAGCGGAATTCTGTCTCCATTTCTTACCTATACAGGTTAATCTTAGCAAGTTTGTAGGCTACATATAAATATTATTCTGTCTTTTTGGTCTTTGTTTACAATTTTGCTGCTATTTAAGAAGTGGTGCTGATGTAGCCTACTATTGCATGCATGTCTGTCTGTGCGTCTTTTCTAGTCATATTCTTGCTTTGAAAAAGAAAATGATAAGCAATTACGAGACGTCCGCAAGATAAAGTGTGAAAATATGAACACTCACCTTGAGCTTGGGATAAAATCCACTTTGCATCGGTACGCTATGATTTGCTTCTGCGGTAGCCTATTGCTTTCGGCTGTCTTGTTCACATACTGGCTTTTGAATGGTCGGAGATGAGGCACGGTGCTCACTTTTGATCGTTTCAATAAACTGGACAAAATTACCCGAAACGCTGCGATACTCCCGTGCGTGAACAACACTGTGGAGAAAATGTGCGGTAGAGACTTACAAACGCAGCTCTGCAACGTCCAAGTCAATTAGAAGGAAATCTCAAAAGCATTAATCAGATTAAAATAGGCGCATGTTACTCTGGTGTATGTGAGTGGCGAGCGACCGATGTAGTTTCCATTTAAGATGGCTCTTCCACCTTAAAGAGCGATTCAGGCAGAAATAATCCAAACGCTAGGGGGCGCCCATATACTGCTGTACGTCCAGTCTTCGGCATTTTTTCCTCCGAGGCACCATATGCAGTGATTTAGCACTGTACGTTTTTCAGTGGACCTAACTCTGACAACCCATGATGATAGAGAAAGTAGGCTTCAACAAGCGAGCTTTTAAAAAAGTGCTCTGACTTCTAACCCGAGGAGCGAAAAGGGAGACCCCTCATCTGACCACCCGAAGCTCCCTGCGAACATCTATGGCAATTAACATAAGACTTCTGGGCTTCTGCTTTCTCAACGAGCAGCATTCTTATCTTATGTTTGCATGCTTTTTTAACGTTTTGATTGTTTTTTTTTTTAAACACAGTTATCAATTAGAGGAAGCTATGTGATATTTATTAACTCCACTAAGATATCTGCCTATCAGTCAAGGCCCTAAAAGCACCGTGATCCTAACATTTTCTTTTGTTGTATGAGAATAGTCAACATTGAATGCTGCATTTATGCATAAATAACTTTGCTATTGAGAGCCGTGATACACATAGGCTATAGCTACATCATTGCATTATAATGATAAGTTACGGCTAATATTCATTAGGCTAGTCATGATGAGAATACATACTGGGTATACAATTAATGCTAGTTTCCGTAAGTGCACTGTAAATTGTGAAGATATAAACGTCAATAATCATAATCTTTTTTCTCGTTTTTTAATTTTTCCACGTAAAGTCAGTCGACATATACGACTTCATGATAATAAAACAGCCCAAGTATTACGCCAATAGTACTATTAGTCTTTTGGACAATATAGGCTAATTAATGGATTGATAGCATATATATAAAATAAACGCAATGTAGCTAAATATGTGAGGTCTCCATATTCAGATAAAATTAAGCAAACAGAATATTCACAGAAATACAGCTTGCACTAATTGTTGACTGTTAATTCATTTAATATTTTTTTCTGTCTCTGTGTTTGTGTTTCTTACAAAGTATAGTGTTTCGCATAGCCTATATCTGTGCGAACTTACATCTCGCGTACTTTGCTTGTTCCCTCGTGGACTGTCTCTGTTTTAAATGTATTTGTTAGTGCATTATTGACTTGATAAATTACAGGCAGTTTCATGATTTATAACGAGGCGTTAATGCGGATAAATGGGATCTGACCAAATGCGGCCAGTTTATACAATAAATGTAACACAAATGCATGTAACGCACATTGAAAATGTGAAATATCATAACAGAAGTATTATCATCCCGGAGATATTTAATATAATTCGGTGGCCATAAAGGGATCATATTATTAAAACAATAGTAGCCTATTAATTTTGAATTATCCACAATATTGCTTTTGTAAAGCCTTGGACCCCTGTGGTATGGCAAGTGGCTTTAATAGATATTCCAATTGTGGATTTTATTTGAAATAAATCTAAATATTGAACGCATGTATTGCGATGAAGATTTTGCATCAAACTGTGTCCTACTCTCTTTAGGACCAAGCGGCTCCTCGACCCTTATTTCTGGCTTTGGCAAAGAACCAAGTAGCACAAGTGCCGACTAGCCAATGGGGTTCAGGGGGAGGTCCGTGAGCTCTGACCAGTCAAACACAGTCACTTTCCATATATGGCAACTCATCACCATGGTAACGTGTGCTAAGTTGCAGCAGTCGTGTCAAAGTTCACTATATAGAGAGCTCAGTGAGCTGATCAGAGAGAAAGCATTCTGCCAGCCCAGCGCCTACAAATCGCAGTCACTTCCTAACCTCCCCCTTTTTAACATATTTGATCACTTTGATTCTCTGTTCTCTCTCTTATTATTTTTACGCGCATGAAGGAGGTTCTATAGGTTGTGATCTTTTTGTTATATTATCAGTCCTGCTTGCCGGAGAGTTGACTTCATATTTGACTCGAGCATTGGCTGCAACTGCGCGCGGCTGCTAGCGCTACCTCATCTGAAGAAAAGGAAGAAGCAGCGCTATTTTTTGGCCAGTTGTTGGTTTTTCTTCAAGACTTCACGCTGGAACTTCTCGCGCTTCGCAAGTATCGTTGAAAGCTGCGTGTTTCTGTGCGTGCGAACGTCGCCACACGCGTGAAGTTATCTGTCCTGCTCTGTTCATATCTTCTTCCGCCGTGTTTATTTTCCATTTTATCCTTGATGGGTTTACTGGATGGATGACTGCAAGTGCCCCTGGACTTGGCCTCTAAGAGCAAGGCTCGGCTCGTCTTTGCTTCAGTTTTAACCACATGTCAGGTAACGCTATTTCAGTCGAGAAATAGACTGCTGTTTGCCGTCGGTACGCAACTTTGAACGGACATTCAGACTCTAACCGACCGCGCCGATCCTGAATTATTTATTTTATCTTGCTAAGTGATAAAGGCACCGTGCTTCGTTACTGTTGTTGTTCTTGTTTTTTTTTTAAAACAAAGCATTCCGAAACCAAAAACGGGGAACAAAAAGTTTTTGTTAACGTTGACTGATAGATATGGCAATGGTAGTGTGGAGAGGCTCCCAGGACGATGTGGCCGAGACCCAGGGCACCCTCTCATCGCAAGCCCAAGGAGGACTATCCCTTCCGACCCCTCAACCAGGCCAGCTGGGTCTAACGGCCTCTCAGGTTGCCCCTCCGACCCCTCAGACACCCGTTCAAGGACCCCCGAACAACAACACACAGTCCACCCCGACGAACCAGACGACGCAGTCGGAAAAGCAGCAGCCACAGCACATAGAGTGCGTGGTTTGCGGGGACAAATCCAGCGGCAAACACTATGGCCAGTTCACTTGCGAGGGGTGTAAAAGCTTTTTCAAACGGAGCGTACGAAGGAACCTCACTTACACATGCCGTGCCAACAGGAATTGTCCCATTGACCAGCACCATCGCAATCAGTGTCAGTACTGCCGCCTCAAAAAATGCCTCAAAGTTGGCATGAGACGGGAAGGTATTGGGATTTTTGTTGTTTTACTGCTGTCTTTGTCTTTTGTATTTAGCTGTATTAAATGCATGCAATCTACGTCCCCCTTGTATTTTGTCCCCGACTCCTCTCTCTCAGTCTGCCCGACCACAGCACGCGAAGGAACCGCCTATAGCGCTCGAGACTGAGCGTTATCACGGCGCCCTTAATGCTCGAATAATGAACAGACTCTATTTCGCATTTTACATGTTCGCAACTTTAAATTGATTATCACTTTTATTCGCCGACGAAAATATGGTCATTCGTGTTGATTTTTAATAATATCACTGCAGATATGCCGTGCAGTTATGGCGAGGGAGAATGGAGAGGCAGCGTCAAAATCACACACACACTCACGCACGCACGCACACACACCACACACACACACATTAGGCTAGGGTCTCTAGATAGACCACAATCGACATTGCTCATCTCCAGGAGAAAAGTAAATAATAATTACCATTGCGCTTTTATAGTATTTATTCGAATAATCGTTCCGCCAAGCACCCAGTTCGCTCACAGATTCTCAATGGACAGCAGAACTGACTATGACGCTAGCTAAATAGGTTAAGGGTTAGCATTCGTGCCTTTCTTTGTGCATGTATTCGCTGGGCTCGTGTTGTGAAATGTAAACACAAATTTATGTACAAGTACACCAAAATGAAACATTTGCCAATAGATATTTTTCGATTAACTTAGACATAGGGTTTGACTATAATTATTTTGTGTATAGTGGACGGTGCAGAACGTTATTGTAAGCGTATCAAGAGTCTAGTCTTTAAATAGTTTCACTTAAACAGTAAAATCACGAAGGCCACTTTAATAGTTTAAAAGTTCTGCACGTGTCAAGTGACATACTAGTCCAATTGATCACATTATTGCTATTGGTGTAGTTTCCTAAACAAATTGTGTGGTAACAACACACCACAAGTGAACTAAAAAACAAGGTCAAGCTGTATGTTGTTGTTGTAGAATTCAAGCATCAATATCTACAGTTTCTCTTTTTACTGCAGCCGTGCAAAGGGGACGGATGCCACCCACACAGCCACACCATGGTCAGTTCGCCTTGACAAATGGGGACCCACTGCACTGCCATTCCTACTTATCCGGATATATCTCTCTACTACTACGAGCGGAGCCCTACCCAACTTCTCGGTATGGCAGTCAATGCATGCAGCCCAACAACATCATGGGCATCGAGAACATTTGTGAACTGGCAGCCAGGATGCTGTTTAGTGCGGTAGAGTGGGCCAGGAATATTCCCTTCTTCCCAGACCTCCAGATTACCGACCAGGTTGCCCTTTTGAGGTTGACCTGGAGTGAGTTGTTTGTGCTCAACGCTGCTCAATGCTCCATGCCGCTCCATGTGGCTCCACTTCTGGCGGCGGCTGGGCTCCATGCTTCCCCCATGTCTGCGGACAGAGTGGTCGCCTTTATGGACCACATTAGGATCTTCCAAGAACAAGTAGAAAAGCTCAAAGCTTTGCACGTTGACTCTGCTGAATACAGTTGTTTAAAGGCCATCGTTTTATTCACTTCAGGTAAGTTTTCATTTTCAAAACATCTGTTTTTAATCCTTCATTTGAATGTGCAGTAAAGATAATGGAGTATTTTAATTAACACGTGCTAGCCTATTTATCTGATAGTATTAAGTATTAAAACGTGCACGTCATAATAGATACGTAAGTGTAAATATTTTACAGAGCTCTGATAAAAAATTCAGGTAACAAGTAAAATTAATTAATCTGACTAAAATGTTTTAAAAGCATCGACGTATCCTCAATAGAACACTGCAGTTTTATTTAACACTTATTTTTAAGAATTAAATGTCGACAGGATTAATATTTTGTGACAGCCAAAATATTCATATTAATATTATTTTAAAATATACATTCAAAAATATATTTATTCCCGTAAAAAATAATAGAAGATAGCATACTTTCTACCATAGCCCCTATTACGTAGTTTTGATAAAAACAAATAATGTCAGAAAATGAGCACTATCGACTTCTAAAGTCTAAATTGTAGCTGTAATCATAATTTGTTGTAGTTTCACAATACATCAACATAATATGATATTGAAGGGCAATTAATTATTTCTATTTATTTGCAATGACAGATATTAAGGATGTCATCTCGAAGGGAGGGGGTGAGGCTGTAGGAAGGGGAAGAAAGGCCTAATGCTCCGTTTACACACATCACAGCCCAGCTTCACATTGGAACCGATCGTTTAAATTGATAGATATATTCACGTTGCGATAAACACCAAAGTTTTGTTTAATCGTCCTGTATTGTGGAGGGACGACAAGACATTTTTGTGCGTTGTTAAAAGCTCACAGTTCTTCCTTGTTTTGTTAGGATGATCTAGGGATCCAAGACACATGCTGGACTCGTTCCAGAACTGGGTCATGACCCCGACTTCCTTTCTTTATTTGTGTATCAGAGAGCTAAAGCGAAAAAGTTTTACAGATTTAATGGCGAATATATCATCTCGGAAATTTATGACTGGGAAAGCTTTAGTACCAGTTGCTCAATAAATAGGCTATTACCACAGTATGCGCTGTTTTGATTTCTTTACTGAAAATGTTCCCTACAACAATAAAATATAAAAGAATCAAAACCTAAAGAAAAAAAATATCAACGGAACAGTTCCTAACATGCTATTTTTAAAAGTCAATGTCATGTAGGGCAATTGCAATCGCTTTATTGATTTACAGTCTTCTACCACCTCTTGTGGATAGTTTGTTGAGTTTGTTGACGTTCTTTAAACACAACTTTCAGTGTCGTCTAAAAGTTTCGCAGCGTCTTTAAATGTTCTAAAATAAGGCAGATGTAGTATTATACGCTAGCACATAGTCTTGTAATTTCTTAACATTATTTTATTTTTTACATTGCCCTTTTGTGTAAATTTTTTGCCATAACCCACATGCTGCTAAAATGTCCTTTTTGTGGGGATTACATGCATCAAGATTCAAACGGTTGTAATACTCGTAACAATAGAATCCACACTCAATTATTTAAAAAAAAAAAAAAAAAAAAAAAACAGAACAGCACAACTCCAGAGTTATCTCTTCTCTAGTAAACTTAAGTTTGAATGGCACGTGTATTTTTGTTCATTGCTTTTGTTTTATGGTGTAGCTACGCAATAGCGTACTTAAATGAAATAGTATGTGTTATTGTACAACTTGCCGTTTTGTAAATGAACTGTCCAGGTGTGCTGTTAATGTAATAAGCATTTGATTATATCTCCATTCCTTATAGATGCTTGTGGCCTGTCAGATGTGGCCCATGTGGAAAGTTTGCAAGAGAAGTCCCAGTGCGCTCTGGAGGAGTACGTTCGGAGCCAGTATCCCAACCAGCCAACTCGATTTGGGAAGTTATTACTGCGCTTGCCCTCTCTCCGTACAGTCTCGTCTTCGGTCATAGAGCAATTATTTTTCGTCCGATTGGTAGGTAAAACCCCAATTGAAACCCTCATCAGGGATATGTTGCTGTCGGGGAGCAGTTTTAACTGGCCTTACATGTCGATTCAGTAGGCAGAAGGAGTGATCAAAGGGGCTGTGACTACAATAGTTAGCGCTTCTTTTGTAGAAGGAAACGGCTGTTACACGAGTTTACTTTCACGAAGAAAGACTTTCATACAATGACTGTGAATTTTAAAATTGAGACATTCAGTGAAGCCTCGAAATCCAGAGATTGCTCCCTGTGTCATTCTGAACAGTTGGTTCTAATGTTTTTTTGTTTGTTTGTTTGTTTGTTTGTTGTTTTTGTAATAAATAAAAAAAATACAAAAATGAAGAAATAAATAACCCACTAAAATTAATACAAAAGGAAAAAAGACTAAAGAAAATAAGTCAAGGATTTTCATAATCCTTTCTGGACAGCAAAACTAAAAAGTGCATTTAAGCGACAATTTGGAAAGATTAAGGAGGAAGAAGAAAAACAAGTTCCTTTTCTAAATTGCTATATTGTCCTGTGTCCATGTATCTATAGCTGTTTTTGTAATTTTTTTTTTTTTTTTTTTTTTGCTTCTCCTTTCTGGTTCCAAACCGGCCTATGTGATTCTGTAGTATGCAGTTGTTTTTTTTTATTTTTATTTTTATTTTTTGCTGTTTTTCTAATAACCATGGCTTCTTCTAAAACAGTTCGGAATGTAAAGACGTTCTTCGAGAATTAAAACTAAATCCACAGCAATATAGGCTATGCTTAATGCTGCAACCGCACTTACTCTATTGATGTCCCTCAATGAACAAGAATAGGGATTATTTTCATAACCAACTCAAACTTATATCCACAAAATGCCAGAACACTAGTAATGCATCATTTCATACCACTCTTCTGCCTGAGATATAGAACCCCCCCAAATCATAATTTCCCGAAATGGATGCAGGAGCAAAACTATATCACTCAGTTATATGCGCCATAAAAGTGTTTGCAAAATGTCACCGGTTATTTCAATTACCGAAATATTTCATTATTTCACGACCAATTATTGTTGAAAGTTTTGACCTGTCTCCAATTTTTTTTTCCTCTCAAATATTTGGATTCGGGGATGGTCGACAGCCTGCAATGCAAATAGTAGAACAAAGTGTTTGATTTTACAGTTAAGGAGACCCCCACTTAATATTTTCAAATGTATTAAGTTGCGTACACGCGAATTCTCGCTCACGCGTTTTGCAACAGTAAACTGTATTTTGAACGAGGGGGGGAGATGATGGGTCATCATTCTTTTAATGATAAAGCAGCAGTATTAATAAGACGTCCCCATAAATGTCCCTCAACACTAAAAAGCATTAAAGTGCCTGTACAGCGCAAATGTGTTATTAACGGTTACTGAAGTCTATACACCATGGGGAACACGCTTAGAATTTACAAAGTCTTATAATTGTTCATTTCACTTGAGGGAAAAAAACACAAGTAGAGGCAGTATTCTTGTAAATATAGGTCAATTAATTTCAAGGACTTTTTCTTTATACAACGTATATGTGATTATTAAGAATAAAACTGTGGTTGCCAATTTTTTCGGTAATACAAATGTCTTCAAATGAGTGACAGACTTAGCTAGTAGCACTGAAAGTTCTGGTTGTAATGTACATACATATTAAGACAAATGTTTTTTTTTTCTTCCTTTCTTTTTTCATGTATTTAGACTGTGAATGCATGGCCACAGGTCGCTAACCTATTTTATCTTTGATATATATATATATAAATGTAAATGTTTTTGACTGTATAGATATAATCTGTGCATTCAGTACACTAGCCCTTGTATTTAAAAAGACAAAAAAAAAAAAAACGTTCGACGATAGGTTGACACTTAACAGGGTGAGCTGGTTTGGAAAGGGGTGGCTATTTTGACTTGGTGTTCTGCTCCTTTTCGGTCTGTAACAGATGCCTTGTGTGTGTATGTGTGAAAGCTTGCAATTTCGTCCCTGTTTTGAGGCTTTTCTTCAACACACAAGACACCATGTTGTGATTGGATAAAAAAGGGATCATATTGTGTAGTTGATTGAACAGTTATTTGGGCTGTTCTCTGCCACATATGGACCAGTGAATGATACATGATTGTAATTATGAACAGTTTAAACTGACCCACGTTTTTATATAAATATATAAAATATATTACTGCAGGGTATTGATAACGTATAGATACTTTTTTATTATTATTGATTATTATTAATTGCAAGTGATATACGTGAGTGTGTGTGGAAGTTTATAGTTGAAAACAATTCTTGTTTGTTTGTGTTAGCTTATTGTAAACAAGCATTCTGCTGTAAATTTGTTCTTGGTATTAAATTATAATTTATGAATTTGAAATCAAAAGGCTTTCATTGTTGTGTTATTCATGACTAGCGGACAAATGTGTCTGTTCTATCGGACAGTGAAATCATGCTCTGTCTCAAACTGCTTGGGTTTACGGGTGTGTGTTTCAGTGTGTGTGCGTGTGTGTGTGAGAGAGAGAGAGAGGGTTGGGGTGCGAGGGTATAACTCCGAGGTTTGGCATGGGAAATTGTCCAGGTTACGTCTACATTTGGCTATGTAAATACACGTGCAAAGTGCTGCAGCTTCAAGTGTGAAATATCGCTTTGATTTGCCCTCTAACATTTAACTTTTTACAAATCACCATTCATCCATCTTTGATAAAAAACAATATGGATAGTTCAAGAATCATGTCACCCCTACTTACCAGGTATAGATTTTGTATATGCGCAGATGTTCTTGCTCATTGCCTTGTTGGGTATCACTTTCAATCTAAATACATCAAATCTTCTCAGAGCAGGTACTGGCACGTCGGAACTGAAGTCGCGATGAAATGCAACATTGGACATTCAATACATGTCAAATGAAATGCCATCTTGTTGTAAACGTGACAAATGACAAAATTCAGCCCACTGTTTGTTCTACCTCGAAAGCAGTATTTTATATGTCACATTTAGGGCTATCTGTTAGAGGACACCAAGCGTGTGAAGCTATCCTGTAAACTGCGCCTTCAACTTGGTGTCCTATTAGTTGAGGCAATATGGCGTCTTGCAATCCAACGCAAGCTATAGTACGGCTCCCCGGAGCAAAGCGATGTCTTGTAATTGAAACCACATTGCTGGGAGAAAAGGCCCCTCAATCGACACCAAGGGCCCAAAAAAAAAAGCTAGACAGCAACCGTCTTAAAGTTTTTGTCAGGGGTCCAAGAGTCCTAAAATTCAGAGATATAGCCCTAACTACTTTATTTCATTGCCAGTGTAATTAAAACTTACTTTTCTTTTTTAGCCCAATTTAACAAGACCATCGCGAACTCGTTAGTTTCTCCCTAAAATACAATGAATTTGCAGGCTTCGTTTTACAAATCATATTTATTGGGTATAGCTTAAGGAAATAATAAGTAACATCCCGACCCATATATATATACTAGTTTTTAATAGTAGATAAGACAAACTGAGGATAGGCTAAAGTAATGGCTAAGAAATAATGTAAATCAGACCAACCCCCAACTGCGTAATAATAATAAAAAACAAAAATATCATCAATTATAATATTAACAATAACAGCGTAGTTTAAAATTATTTAACACTATTTATATTCTATGTAAATTCTATTTATTTATTTATTGAGCTACTTTATCAGGAAAGATTTTGACTTAGGAGGGCAAAAGTTATAGCTAGCGTAGTCCTGGAAAGTTTGTTTGTTGCGGGGCTATTGGTAAAGGCCTGTTTAGATGACCGGAAATGATTGATGGGTGTTTGTTATTGTTTTAAACGTGGTCCAGGATGTGTGTTTGATGAGAGCGCTAATGCATGTAGCAGAGGAAGGCTTGCAATTATGACACAGTGATGAGACCTATTAACTACTCCAGATAGCTACTATTAGTAGTTGGCATTACATGCTTTAAAAAAACTAATTCCAGAATGTAAGTCTGTGCAACAAATTCCACCGTACACTAGATCTTGTGTTGTATATTTTGTCAAAGAGGAATTGACAGTTTGTTCGCTTTAAATGCTCGTTTTGCTTTGATAGGCTTACCAGAGCAGGTTAGTAGTAATTTGGATCATGGCTTCACAGGCTTGATTTTAGTTGACAGAGCGTGTGTTGAGGCTGAACTCTATAATTTGCACTTCTGTTCTTTTATTAGCGTCGGACAACGAACTAATGAGGTCTCCCTCAGTACAATGTCACTTTTATTTATTTCTTCATGGAAAAAAGTACTATGGGATATGGCTGGCCAACCGAGCCAACAACAAAAATTCCTAACCGTTTCTCCGTTGATTCTATAACATTTCTATTGTGTCTATAAACAGACATTTAAACTAAAAGAGTAAAACATTTCGACATTCACTGTAAAAAAATAAAATAAAATTATATATTGTTGGTTTAACTTTAAAAAAAAGTAAGTTACCTGGTTGCCTTCATTTTGAGTTCATTGAAATAAAAAAAAATGAGTTAACACAATAAAGGACATTTTTTTTTAATCAACAGAAACTCAAAGTATTATGCTATCTGAACCACATTAATTATTTAAGTTGATTTGACAAAAGAAAAACGGAAACGTCTTTATCGTTTCATAAAGTGATTATTGTTTGATGATGTAGGCTCTGAGGAATCGTTACCACCTCAACCCGGCCATGATGGATTGAAATCGTCGGTTACCGTCATCCATTATCGTCTGCATTTCTAAAATAATTAAATATAAACTCATTTTAAAAGCTTGCACATAATTATCTGGCTTAACAGTGGTACGGTAGCTAATAACGTTGTTTGTCTTGGAGGTTTTCAATTTAATTTCAAAATCAAGTTAACGATGACCTCTCAGACCTCGCCTAAGCCTTACTATGACTTCAAGCTAAGTATATGTAGTTTTGACGATCTGTTAGACTCCTTAGCAAAAGTCATCATAGCTTTGGGATAGGCTATCATATGCTCGCTTGTGTTGTTCTTATGATGAGCTCGACGAAGGAAGAGCCAGCAATTGGTTTCCATAGCGACCCCCAAAGAGCAGCGATAATAAGCAAAGCATAGACCCCCACTCCCTTCGAGAAAAAAAAAGACAATTTAACTGTCTGTTGTTCTTTCACCTCACTCGAGTATCAACATATTTCTGTTTCATTATTTTTATTGACCCTCCTAAGATTTGGTCTTGAATATAGTTCATAATTTTAGCTCTCAGATTTATTTAAATATGAGGAAAAACCCTTAGCGTTTTGGATTTTCAAATAATGAGGTACTTAAGAGAACTTTTGTTTGACGTCATCTATATATATATATATATATTGCTGCAAATTGCCCGGAATGTTCCATAATGGGGCTATTAAAATATATCAAACAATAATCGAATGTGGCCTAGTCTGGCATAGAAGCGATCTTATTTCGTTTTTTCCCCCCAACTAATCGCTTGTAATCTCTTCACATTAATAATTTATTTATTTATTTTTATTTTTTACTTTTTTTATTTTAACTAAACCGCCATATGCACAATTGGGTCAGTGGGCCTATGTCTTGTCTTTATTTTATTTGTTTAAGCTAAAATGGAGCTATAAAATATTACTCAAAAGGTAAGGCTCGATTGCCATATCTATATTTCCATTTCGTTTTTTTTTTTTTTTTTTTTGCCTCTCAGTCTGTCTGTAATGTTGAATAAAGTGCTTTAAAATTGACTTGCTGCTCTCGGCTCGGTGGGTTTCTCTCTAAATGTTAGAAAATTGTGCCATCTACCCGCTATTCACAGAACTGTCACTTCCAGGACCTCCCGAGACCTCGAGCCAACTTTAACACAAAGGGAGAGACTGAGGGGGTTGGTGAGATGCTTCGAAGTGTAGTCTGTTCACTTGAGTTAAAACAAGCATTAAATCAATAACATTACAGGATTGATGTTTGATCAATTATTTTAAAATAACTTGCAATGTACCAAAGTTAGCGAAGGGGTTGCATCACTACATGGACTATACAAACAATTTGACATCATCTTTATTTGAAATTTTATTTATTTATTGCACGAAAATTTCTGCTACATTTATACAATATTAAGTCATATCCTTCAGGGTTAAGAACGCTTGACTAATTTCCAAGTTAGATCACAATATAAACTAATGAACAAAAGCAGAAGACATTAAAAGTATAAACATCAACACAATAACGCGGATACAATTAACTGTTAGTGTCACTAATGGCGTTTAAACTATTTCCGTTTTATCAGACATAGACCTTTTTTAATTAATAAAAAAACAAGTCTGTGCTATTATGGGTTTTTTTTTTCTTCTCTTCTTTCTATAAGTTTGTTGGGAGCAGAGGAGCAGGGCACATACTGATCTTTTGCGCAGTTCCAAATGGACGGGTTAATTCTAGTTTAAGTCATAGCATTCCCAGTGCACGGGTTCCTCTCAGACATCTGTCTATACCACACTTGTTTACAATGACTTTCATTCACTGTTTCTTGAAGAAACACACGGATCCTGAGCGTTCAGTGTTCTTAGATGAACAGTGTGTTTGAACCTCAGAAGCATCCTCGCAAGTGAAATAGGCCCTCGAAAGGGACAACAAATATTAACATTAAAGTTTAAAAAAAAGTAATAACTGCACCAATGCATGTCGTATATGGACATATAGCCTAGTTCCCCCGCTTTAATATATATATATATATATTTTATATTAATATAGCCTACATCAAATATGTTTTGTGTTACAATTTAGACTATATTAATTCCCTAATACGGGCCTATAACTTGACTGGCATCTTGAAACGAATGGCTCCTTTCATTTAGAATCCAGTGGCAAGATTTAGGCTATCCTTTGTTTAAAGCGCCCATATTAAGCAACGCTCCAAGTCGATGACATCCTTTTGTTTTTTTTCCGACTATGAAATGCCTGAATTTCAAGACTTAGAAATTAGGATAAAAAGGAAACATTAGCGATCAACGTCAAGAAAGGTTGATACCTGTGTAAAGCGGCCTTCTAGTACTAGACGTGTCTGCTGGAGTTAAACGCTGGTGAACTCAGTCAGTCTCAGTCTGTGAACTCTGAGCGAGTGATAGGAACCAATAGGAAGAGAGAGAGAGAGAGAGAGAGAGAGAGTGAGTGAGTGAGTGAGAGAGAGTGAGTGAGTAAAAAAGCGCAAAACCTGAGAATAGTGGTACCATCTAAACTAATACACAGGACTTGGATTTTAGCTTGACTAGTAACTGCAAAACTGTTTCTTATATTAGTTACAAATAATTGATATTAATAATTTTAAGGAATTACGTTTTGCAGTTAGTCAAATGTATTGTTTTTGAACGCTAATTGATAAACACATTTCGTATTTTCTATGTTTAACCACACCTTCTGA